TATCTCATATTGATTTTTATTCAAATATCTGGTCAATTCCACACATGTATATAAATGAAGGAAAAAAGTTGTGTGAGTGAGTAACTTGATATGATTATGAGTGGCAATAATTTGTACTCGAAACGTGGTCATCAGTTAATGTTACTGTACAACACACTGTGTGATTTATCAAAATAAAATCTTATCTATAATGGGGTTATACTCTACCACCACCGTGCCCAAGTATTATACTTATATGTGTAAAGTATAGACAGATCAGGATCATCTCCGTTTGACTTGCTAATTGAACCTACCACTACCACGTAGATTATACGAGGTATAATTTAATTTTTTTTAATTTTTGATTTACAGCTTGAATCCACACCGTATTTTTGGTACAAGTATTGAATATTCAGCATGGATATCGGTAGCCCAAATTTCGAAGGCCGACCATAGATATCAGATGTGCGTCGGCAGGAGATCGAACCCCGGACCATGTGCATGGTCGGCGAGTGTCCTAACCACTGTGCCACCGACGCCCAGATTACTTAATGATGCCTGCCTAGTGCTGAATAAGTCTTATATATACCAGGGTAACTGATATGTATTCAACAACCGGCTCACAAAGAATTGCTCTCACTCCCTATCTGATTCAATAAAGATGCTTACAACAGTTCATAATATACATTATATTATTCAATAGCAAAAACAAATGCAAACATATACACACACACAAAAATGGAGTATCTTCTTATTTATGAACCTAAGTTTGTAATGAAACAAAAAGAAGCTTTAAACATCAGATGAAGCAAATCCTGCTGTTTCAGTTTGATAATCCTTTTTTGGAACAGGATCATAATAAATTTGTTTACGATGGTGATTCCGTTTTCTCTGAAATTTTCGATAGGATTTCACCTGCATTTCGTAGGCCGACAAATCAGAGGATGAATCATAATCACTAAGATTGTCTAAAAGTGAGTTTCTTCCATCAGATATCTGACAAATAAGAAAAACAGAAAAACAAACAAAGTCTATGAATCCTTTTGCACAGCATGAGAGGACTCGAACAAGCAACTCATATATATATATATATATATATATCATAGAAAGCATTAACAATAGATAACTGGAGATTTTTATTGAAAACTGTCTTCGTCAGCTGCTCAATACTGAAGATCAGATTACAATAAAGGAACCTATTGACCAAAAAAATATGCGGAAGGAAAAAGATATCGATTGAACGCTAGAGAGACTGTTAAGTGATAATCGCATACGCATAGCCTATGGTCGAGTGGAATTTGAGGGTAACATGAAGAAGAAAGAGGAGATATAAAGCTTATTGTCAGTCGTGAAGTCAGCTAGTAAGGACTGCAAAGAATAGAGTGGAACAAAGCATATACTGTTAAAGACATATGTTCCACGTGAAACCTAAGGCGATAATAATGATAATAGTAGTAGTCTGGACTTTTTTTCAGTGTTAATAGATATTTATGGCATTTGGACTAATTGAGAATTTTTCTTCATAACACAATTATGATTATGAATTTAAGCTACTCTAAGGAAACTACAGTCAATAACATGAACCCGTGGGATAGAGCTGTCCAGTTCTAAAAGGTGTGGATAGAAAGCATAAAATGACTGCCTGTTATCTTCTAAGAGAGTTAAGCAGGTATAAAATTTGTAGTGGCATACAACACTGGGTAAAAATCATCACCGCTTTACTACATCTGACTGACTGAAATTGCTTGAACAAGCACTCTGTCTAGCTAACAATTTGTTGTTACACTTCCCTTCTTTTGGTGTACAACATCCAACTCAATAAACAAGCCTGTCTAATCCAAGTGTAAACTTTGTGTGTTTAGGGATACGTTTGTTTAACAAGAGTTTTAAACTTCTTTGATTTTATTTTCATCACCTTTTCCACATTTGTCAAGTAGGCACTCAACCGACCTGTTTCAAACTCTAGTAATAATCAATATAGGTGTAAAACTTGGACAGTGTGGTAGTAAGTAATTCCATATTAGTTTGTTTATTAGATATATTACACAGGGAAATAGTATTATTTACTGGATGACAATGTTTCGAACAAAATTTATTGTTCATAATCATATCAATTATAATTACACGACTCCAGTTTGCGAAAGTCGAGTGAGTTTATTGATAAGCCTTAGTACAGGAAGACATATGTGTAAACTCAAGTTCCGAAGCCGTGTGATTATAATTGATATGATTATGAACAATAAATTTCGTTCGAAACATTGTCATCCAGTAAATAATACTGTTTCTCTATGTGATACATGTGATAAACAAATCAATATGAAATCTACTAGTAATTGTTAACTAATCGATTTTTATATCGATCTCAATTTGAATGACTCATAATAACCTACAATCACTTCAACTAAGCAAAAATCATTGTTGTGTTGATTGTTACGCAACCTTTTCTCTTCTTTTTTAAATGAGTCACTGTATTAATGATGGGAAACTGTCCCCCCTCGCCTCAATTAATCAATAAAAGTTTGTCAAATGTTTTTTTTCAAAGAAAATATGAATACCCTGAGCTTCAGTTGATATATTTTCATGGGTATAATTAAATCTGCCCTTATATTGTAAGCCTAATTATCACTCACCACCTTGGTTGACATGACCATTTATTACCACAATGGTGGTGAACACATAATATATTGTAATATATATATCCAAACCAAGTTCACTTGTAACAGTTTGAAAAAATTTGGGCATTAGGTATATGATATTCATTATAATAAAGGTTTTCTTGTATTTCCCGATAAATGAGACACAAAACGATATTGTTTTAAATGCTGCTGCTGCTAATAGCTTTATCAAAATATTTTTAAACCAAAATTTACAAAATCTCAGCGTATATATAACAACTTAATCATCGTTCCTCAGTATAGGGGAATTTTTCTTTGTCAAATTGGCCAATTGGTAAAGATAATAAAACCAGGTGTAGATTTGATCATTTACTGGATGACGTTTCGAATTTTTCACTCCTACTACCCCTTACACAAATACGAGAGACCAAGGAAAACTATGAAACTCAAGTTCCGAAGTCGTGTGATCATAATTGATATGATTATGAACAATAAATTTCGTTCGAAACGTCATCCAGTAAATAACACTGTTTCATTGAGCGCCGTGGTAGAATTTAACTCGATTACGGAGAGATTTTATTTTGATAAATCACACAGTTGCATGGAGGATTTAATCATGAGCTGACATCAGTTAGAGAACCACTGGAAAACCTGGGAGTACTGGACAGCCGTTTCGTCCTAGTTTGGGACTCCTCAGCAGTACGCACCCACCGGGATTCGAACCCAGGACCTTCCGGTTACAAGGCGAGCTCGTAGACCATTGAGCCACTGGGACCCGATCCAATGGTCCTTGAATTCTAACTTCTGCCAGTTCACGACATAGCGCGACAATGGTCTACGAGCTCGCCTTGTAACCAGAAGGTCCTGGGTTCGAATCCCGGTGGGTGCGTACTGCTGAGGAGTCCCAAACTAGGACGAAACGGCTGTCCAGTACTCCCAGGTTTTCCAGTGGTTCTCTAACTGATGTCAGCTCATGATTAAATCCTCCATGCAATCAAACAAAATCCCTACAAAAACCAATACTTGAAATCACACAGTGTTGTACAGTTTTATATTAACGGATGACGTTTCGAGCGAAAATTATTGATCATAATCATATCAAGTTGATATGATTTATCAAAATAAAATCTTATCCATAATGGAACCCAATTCAATGATAATAAGGTTAGCAATACAAATGTAGATTCTGATTATTATTGTTCATTTGGGTTCCTAGTGGAACATAGGGCTTCAACTGCACGTCTCCTTCCACTTGCTTCTGTCTTCCTTCTGCTGCACTTTTTACCTGCATCCATGTCATCAATACTCTTTCAACTCCTCTTCACAAGATCTCCTCCATGTCACCCTTGAACTGACGTCCCACTCGTCGCTTCCCTATCGGCCTGGTTCCACTCAAGCTATAGCCTGACGCGCGCGCGATGTCACCCAGCGGCCTCCTCCTCAGCGAGTGTCCAATCCATCTCCATTTCTCCTGCATATTTGTTGGCCCATTGCTCTTGTTTTGTTTGTTCCCATAGTTTTTTGTTGGTGATTATTTCCGGTCCGGCCATCTGATCTTCAGTATAGAGCGAAGACAGTTAGTTGTTGATAAAGGTCTGGTCTGCAATAGCCTGTTGGAAATATTCTTTGTGACACGCCCGCCAAGTTTCTGATCCGTATAGAAGAACTGACTTTACGTTTGTATTGAAAATCCGGATTTTGTTGGTGATGCTGAGTGACGAAGATTCCCAGATTGGTTTCAGGTTGATAAGTGAATGTTTCTCGCCTTCCCAATTCTCGCTCGACTTGACATCCTCGTGTGTTCCGACTGTCTGTAGTTGAGACAATGCTCCTAGATAAGTGAATGAATGAAGTAACCTCTTTCAAATTCCTCCCGTTGATGGTGATTGGCGCTGAAAGTATTTATTATTATTTCTTGTGTCCCCGAGAGAGAAAACCATTTTAGTTTGCGGTTGGCAAAGGGACTGAACAAACTTTTTCTGAACACAGATTACGTCGAAAACGTCTTATGGCGACTAACTCAGTTATGCTTAGCAATCAAAGACGTAAAAACGTAGGGAATTGATATGGCAGCTTGTATAGAATTATAAAAGCTAAATTTTTATCAATCTTGTACTCCGCTTCTACTAGATGTAACAATATGGAACACCTGATTGCCTTGATCATACCTTTTCCTAACCATAGTGAACAATGCCTAACACGCCGGTGGTGGGTTTACCCAGTCATTTTTAATCAAATTCCATAGGAAAATAAATAGCACAAATTTACACACCCTTGAGAAACAGCTGTTCTTATCTCTTTATTCTATAACCTTTTTTGTTATATATTCACGAGTATTGTGTGAACAAAGAAATCAGACCGGACATTCATAAAAAATAAAACCAACAAAAGTGTTCAGGCCTAGTTAACTTGAAACAATTTGAACAATGGGTCACATTGACAGAAATTGTGATTATGACTCATCCTGTCAGGTTAAACAGATCGATAAGTAGACAAGAGATTAAACTATCTAGAACCAAGATCAAAATGTCTAATGTCACATTGACAAAGAAATAGAGAGGAGAGAGGGATATATATGGTGTTCATTAATGAACCAGTTTTGCATGGGTATGTTAAGTTAGATAAACACAGATGAAAAAAAGGCTAATTCATAGTAAAAATCAATAATTCAAGGTTAATCTATTTTATTCAACTAAATAAAATTATGCACACATATCTAATCGGCTTAAAGGCATCACATTTCTAAATAATTCACTAAACTATGTCATAATAAGGAAATGAAATAGATAACAGTTTTCACTGTGAATACAATCAATAAGAAATATACTACTAATAAAAAGCGTTTTGCTTTTCCAAACTTCCGTTTACATAGGTTAATATATGCATTTAGGTGGATACGCACATATGTATATATACACATGCCTAGAACGAAATGCGCGCGCCTGCATTGATCAATTTAGTTATCTCGATACTATTGGAAAACTGGTAGAATCCACAAAACACCGGCGACAACTATGACGTTCATTCGTTTATCTTTCTATCAATGTGCATATTTAAATCATACTTAGTTTCATTGTTCATATGGTAATAATCGATATTAATTAAGTGTTTATATTATTACAGACTGATAACTTTCACTGATTGGTCGGAAGAAAATTAGGAACTGAGGAAAAATTGTTGCATGTTATATTTGAAAAAGGTCTGTCGATCAAAGGATTCACATTTTTTCATCATAGAGGATAGTTACCCAGAGTAGACTCCGCCTACATGAGCTAATCATATAGTTGCCCAGGTAGAAGTTAACCTATATGACCTCGAACAATCTTACCTCTTGATTAATTTCATATATATCCCTATCACAAGTCCGCGTGCAATCAGATTGTTCTAAATGTGTTGCACGAGTACATTACACATTTTAGACGAATTACGTCTTCTAATTGCTTTGTCTAAAATCATAGCGAGGCCACGTTGAGACTGGCAAATTTGTTGATAATCAGTATACTTAAATACACGGATACCTTTATTCTTTCTTATAGGATTGTAATATTATCACTTGACAAATGATTTAACATCTAGACTAAGATAAGGATACCTGATGAGAGGGAAACGACGCTCAGTACCATACATGTATGGCTTTCATAGAGAATTATGTGATTGGTCGGTTCATTATTTGAAGATTCTTCAGTCGAGTCATTGGTGGTGGCGGATATAATTAAACCTTGCCTTCTGCTAACTCTGTGAAATTCTTTTGAAAATCCATCTACAAAATAATGAATCATTATAAGATAATAACTGTTTAGCGTCCCGAGTCTTTGAGTTAAAGTGAATTACAAGAGAACACACCTCATCTGACTCCAAGATAAATAAATCCGGTGTGCAGTTGAAATTATCACCATTCAATAGATTGCCTGTGACATTTAGGTCCATCGATTGGTACATTGAAGTGTGAGGAGCGCAATGACCTCTGCTGTTTTTGTTCACTTGATTGCTTCTTGTCATTTTCATATTTAAATTGTCTTCATAACTGTTATATTGATTTGAAGTTGAATAATCTCGTTCTGGAAAATTCTAAATGAGAAGTATAAATAAGCTGATATTATTCACATTATAATGAGGATACGAAGCAACTAGAAGCGTACTTTACTCATATAGCTTGAAAATTCCCATTCAGTCATAGAAAAGAAAAAGTGTTCAGCAAAGAGTTACTCTTTTCGGCGATATCATTCTCAAGCTGTACAAATCGCAAATTTATAGTAATTTGTCTTGGCAACAAAAGGAATATTTCCAAAGATGTGTTAATGCAATTGTTAGTTTTTGACAAACAGATTACGTAATTTTGAAGGCGTTAATCGGTTAGAAACTAAAATAAAGTTACAAAAGTAGGTTGGGTGACGTAATCTAATTTTCATTGAAAATTAGATTACGTCACCCAACCTACTTTTGTAACTTTATTTTAGTTTCTAACCGATTAACGCCTTCAAAATTACGTAATCTGTTTGTCAAAAACTAACAATTGCATTAACACATCTTTGGAAATATTCCTTTTGTTGCCAAGACAAATTACTATAAATTTGCGATTTGTACAGCTTGAGAATGATATCGCCGAAAAGAGTAACTCTTTGCTGAACACTTTTTCTTTTCTTTACTCATATATTCACTGAAAATAATATCGATAAGTTGTATGTGGTATATGATCATGTTACATTATAATTGGGTTAAATTGGTGGCATTGCGGTTAGGACGCTCGCCGACCATGCACATGGTCCCGGGTTCGATCCCCTGCCGACCCACTCCCTTAAAAGTTAAGGGGAAAGGTTGGGCATGAGGCTAGCAACCTCATCCTGTAAAATTAAACACTGCTACAGAAACTTCAAGCCACTAGCTTGAAGCCCTATGTTCCACTGGAAACGTGAAGGAAAATATAAACATTATAATGAATATAACCACAACGTTAAGGAAACGAAACGAATTCTTTCTGAACCTTTCGCTGCGTAGTCAACAGCTTGCTCATTTGTAAATTCTGGGTTATTTGACTTTACTACTTATAAGTAGGAAAACGTTTTCGAGTTCAAAATAATGTTAGATCAAGAGAATATTGGTAATCATTAACGGCGTTGAAACACACCTGTAACATGGGTTCTAGCTTCTAAGCTGTATACTATGCTAAATGTTCTTCAATGGGTGTATTATTCAGAAGACCTACCGGGCTATCAATACGGGAAGCTAGGCAAGTTGAACAATTTTATTGCCCATACACGGACGGTTTCAAGTAGCCCATCAGCCACGGTCAATCATACAGTCGGCGTTAATGGAAGACATTGGGGAAGAGGGATTCCTCTAATACATACCCGGCAGTCTGACGACAAACGACTATGGGTAACAGGACGACCCTAATATTAAGTAACATACATTTAAATTGAATATTCCCATAATTAATTCAGAACAAGATATTCATAGCGAACAATTGTTTTCAATAAAATCTCCAGGATCTACAATTATAAAGCATACATACAATAGCCAGTAAGGGCAAATATCAGAAAGTGTATTGTGGATATAAATGGGATGAAACAAGTCATATAGTTTTTAATCTTGCATGGTCAATGAGAACATGGGGCAATGTCAGACGAATTTAATTTGATGAGCATCTATGCAGTGATCAGAAAATACAGGTTTCGGGAGTGCGATCAGGGTGTGACAATATGGGCCTGCCCACAATACACTTCCTGATAGGATTCAAATTTGCCTTTACTGGCTTAAATTAATGGATTTATAATTGTCGAGCCTGAAGAATCTATTAAAAACAATTGTTCGCTCTAAACATTGTGTTCTAAAATACATTTTATTTTACGACCTAGTTATTAGCCAAATTCGTCTTCTGTAATCCAAAAGTCGATTGTCGCCAGACTGCTCGGTACCATAGGATTCTTATGTCTCTAGTAACGATTATGATGGACCGTAGGCAATGAGCAACTTGTTGCTACCTAATACTTCTGCTCACTTAATATGGTTTGCCGATAGGTACCCTTTCTACTCATATATCTAAGATAATCTAAACATCTATACAGTTAGAAAAACATTCCAGCTTCTAACAAAGTTAGCTTCCGATTTTAGTAAGTTGGTCTGACTCATAAAGACACGGTAGGATTCTGATTACTCAGCGTTCTTCAATAGGAAAAACCCGTTATTTAACATACTTGAGCGGCACCAAGGCCCCGTCCTTCCAAAACGTTCGTCATATTGTGCTTCAATGATACCTGTGAGCCAGACACATGCGCCTCCCTCGAATACTGCCGCACCAGCCACGCCGAACGACTTTGTGCCATGAGTTCTTTCTGGTACTTGCGACGTCGAGATTTCACAACCGACCCAGCAATCAATGTCACGATGCTAAGGGCCATTAGAACACCGAGCAAGCTAAGAGTTGTGACTACATCACGCTGAACACCCGAGTAAGACACGTATGGAGCTATAGGGAAACGAAATAGCAACTGCTTCAGTAAAAATCGTGAATGTTACTAAAAATATGTACGCAAGTATACATTGAGGGAGACCCTAATCCAACTCGTATAACAAGCAAGAAGTCGGGTTTAGGTGATGGCAAAACGTTTATTTGATGAAGAATAAATAAAATACAATCTGAACAATCAGAGTCATAATAGTAATTGAAATAAGACAAACATGGGATTTATATACAAGAATAAAAAAGGGACTACATAAATGCATTTATTTCTTGGCTGCCTTCTTAGGAGTCTTCTTTGCGACTGGCTTCTTGGGTTTCACCGTCTAGAAAAACGTGAAGAATAATACACCATAAGAGTTTGTCCAAAAGTACGTCAATCAAGAGCATTGACCATAGAGTAATCGTATCAACTTACTTTAGGCTTCTTGGGTGTTGTGGACTTCTTTGGCTTAGTTGTTTTTGGTTTGGATGCCTTGGGTTTAGCAGCTGGTTTGCTGGGATTGGAAGTTGCTGACTTGGGTTTGGTGGTCTTTGGCTTCTTAGCAGCAGCCTTCTTGGGAGATTTCTTAGGCTTGGCAGTTTTAGGACGGGCGACTTTCTTTGGAGAAGCTGCCTTGTCTGCTAGCTTGAATGAACCAGAAGCACCAATTCCTTTTGTATGAATAAGTTTCCCAGATTTTACACCGGTTACCAGAGCACGACGAAGGTGGCTTTCGGCTCGGTCATCAACTTTATAGTTAGCCTTGATATATTTAGCAATTGCTTGACGGCTTGATCCTCCACGTTCCTTCAATTCTTTAAGAGCCTTCTTTATCATATCGCCATAGGGAGGATGAGCAGACGGAGCCTTCTTTGCTTTTGCTGACTTCTTCACACCCGTAGATGCCTGGGCGGCTAGTGCAGAACTTCCACTAACTGCAGCAACAGTCATTTTAAATTCGCTGTAAACAGACAGGTCACACGATATATGCATTGTGCATATATGAGCTTATTTATATAAACCAATTTCCTGACCACAACGTAGCATAATTTTATCTGCGTGCGTATTTCACTTCTAGCATACTGCTTAGGCGATGAATACCATGGTAAGGTGAATAAAATGTATTATATCTCCTCAACGGTTAGTCGTAAAAATATAATTTATACACCGTTATATAGCTTACATTCTGGAGAATCGCGCTAAGTAGGAATTATTATATTTTATTTTCTTATCTGAGAAAAAATTAGTGAACAATCTGATTTTTTCGCTGTATTTCTTCGTCTATATCTATTTAATCTTCAAAAAATTTCCTCAGAATGCAAGCTATTGCAACGGAATTTCGTATTCTGATAGAGGGTTTATCATAGATTAGTAAAATGATAACGATCACTGGAAATAAAAACTGAATACCTGGAAATTTTGGGCAAAACTCAGTCTATGCTTACAAAAAATTTATCATAGGGGATTTCCCTAGTGAGACAAAACTATGAGATTTTTGGAGAAGTATAAGAAGAAATCGGCTAAAAAATTATTATATCATAGGAGGTATGTGTCCTGACCGGTATGCAAAGTTATACTTGAAAATTCCACTGGGAACCCCAAAAATTTAACGACTGCAATTCATCCTGTATTCTGTTAGGCTAATCTTTAAATGTCGTTATTGAATTAACACTTTTAGATCATGAATTTTTGCCTTCTTCTTTGTCTTGATCATTCACAACACATTGTTAAGACGTTAGCTTCGTTGAAAATGTATAGAATCAGTCCTGGTAGAGGGATCCGCACAGGGAAACCGGTTCATGGGGCATTTATCAAATTCATTATAGGAAAGGGTCATTTCCAGCGGATTTTGTAGCTTCAACTAAGAACCAAGTTGTTTTTAGTAAATTTATGAGAAAACAGTTTGGGAAAGTTTTCGGATAAGCACTGGAAAGCTTTAATAACCCCGAAATATAACAAAACTTGGCTATACACTTCAGAAAGTATGAAATTTAAAGTATTAAATATCATGAACTTTGTTTACTAAAACAGTGTGTTAGTACAGTCATAAAGCAAGAGAATTTCACTAATGGCTCCAGTTTTACTTCTTAGGGATATGTTTAGTACTGAGACATGCCGCTCAGAAGAATTTAACTACTGTGGTCGCCTCCATTTAACTCAGTATTTATGCATGGAAAGTTTTAGGAGGTTATGATTTTCAATAGAATCTAACCTTTTCATTCATACGCCTTGTATGTTAACTATCTCAAGAATAGTTCCTTACTGAATCGTTATGTTAAAAAAGATCATTTCAGATATTTGTCTAGACAAGATGATTCAATGAACTGTCTATAAGCATGCATCATACACCTATATCTACAAGTTGGCCTGTATCTAGAATTAGTAGATCTGTTATTTCTCTTAAAGATTAGTCCATGTGAAATTCAACAGAAGACAAGTAATTCACAATGAAATGTGATGCTTTTCCTAGGGAAAATTCTCTTCGGAATAGCTTATGATATCCTAATAGTTAAGCTTTTAGCAGAAGGAGCGCTGAAGGCTGAAAGAGTTAGCTAGTAACAGTGTAATCTGTCCTAATATATAACTTTAGCAACCTAGTCATTAACGATGGAGTGTTTGACTGATATTACAGTGATGAGCTCATTTTATATTCATTCTACGGAGGATTCAGAGAAAAACTGAGCATACAGCTAACAATAGGGTAAATTATCTCTGAGTAAAGATGTAGTAATAGGCGTTTCATCCAGTTTTGTAATCCATACTTATCATCATTATAATCCCTTTGGGTTCCGAGTGGAACATAGGGCTTCAACAAAACATCTCCACTTCGTTATATTTTCTGCTACCCTCTTGAAATGGGTCCAGGATTGCCCATAATCTATCATCTCTCCCACACCTCGTTTACTAGCTCGCTAGTTTACTAATCTGTCCAAAGGCCAATAGAGAGGGGGGCTCGGGCGTGGGGCTAGTAGACCGTACTCCATAAAAAAACCAATCAAACTGGTACGGAAACTTCACTGCACAAAAAGATAAAAAATACAAAAATACAAAAACAAACTTATTTTTCCGTGAAATCGGAGAGGTAAAATGATAGAGTGGGCTAATGAAAGCCTTCGGGAAGCCAGTCAGCCAGCCAATGTGCCTTATCTCGATGAAAGCAAGAATACGAATGAACTTGTGGAATATACGCACAATTCATACTACATGTAATCAAATGTCTCCAGTTGAAAATAATATATATTTTAACCAGAGTTATACCTTTTTAGAAAGTCATAGTGCCTTTACAATATTGATTCATGCTGAATAGAAAAGTGTAAGCTTTCTGTTGAAGCTATTAAATGATGTAGAAATAATTTTTGCCAAGTTTTCATATTAGTTTATCTCTACACTGACAGACAATATTTCATCAGATAACAAACACTCAGGAAACAGTTCCTAGTAGGTGTTTAGAAGGCGATGTTTTCTCTTTGAACAAGGGGTGAATAACTGACTAGGTGACTGATGAAACAACGTAGAACTTTTCACAGAAGTGTGTCATATTTTTTTTTGAAAAAGTACTCATAAATGCACAAATACGTTGGAACTGTAACTGGCATACATATTGAAAAGAAAATGTAATAAATTGAAGATTAGTGAAGATTTCCACAATGTGAAAGATAACACGGAATGAATACGTTATCACAATTGTAAATGATTGTAGTTCATTTCAGTAAGAGTTTCTAACCAGTGATTCTTGAAGTTTTGAGGACCACAACTAAGCAGTTCATACCCATAAAACATGTCTCAGATTTGCAGACAATGAATTTATGGACACGGCCATATTTACGGACTCTTTCTTTGTTTCGAGTTTCAATCTGTCTGTCTGGATTCAACATAGAACTTGGCAACGAAGTGCACCAGTTCGAGTTACCACCTTCCAAATAGCACACAAAGGTAGACAAGAAGATGAGTGAAGAGAATCAATAGAGTTTGACAGGCATAAGAGCGAAACAGAATGGGTAATGGTAGAAAGAAATATGAAAGATTACAGAGACTGAATACATCTGTGCCACTGACAACGATTTTGATCCATATCACCTATTGTCTGCAGCCATTGATTCCTAGAGTCCCGAGGGCCCCAACCTAGAGGTCTGCATCTCCCTACCTGACTCAGTTTAACTGTCAAATTTGAGTTTCAATAACCTATAATAGCTCTTTGACAAATAAATCCCATCTCGGTTAACATTTCTCGTTGAAGTAGACAGTTGTTTAGGCATGAGAGTAACAAACATTCTATTTACCTCATCTATCTGAGCTCAAATAACATAACATCAGTAAAAACACTCACTTAAGCTATAAATATTCCCTATTATTTTAACATTCAACAATTTCACCTTCTTCAGCCTTAAACCAAGAGTTGGTTCAGACCAGTCCTACAGTATCGGTCATATTATGAGTGCATATCGGACACACTGAAGTCAGTGAATATAAACTAAAATACTTCTAGACGAGTATTATGCTCATAATTATTCCATTTTTATTTACTGAATTTCTGTTATCTTGACAACGTGATGGACAAAACAGAGAAATATTGATTTTAGTGTGTTTCCTGCCTAATGGATAGCTCACTTTGTTATTTGAAACGATACGTGTTGGAAGCAAGTGTATCTTAACGGGAGCGTCGTAAACTTCATGAGGAGCAAGCAAATCCACATTTTTTTTTTTTTTTTTTTGATTACAGCTTGATTCCAAACTGTATTTTTGGTACAAGTATGGAATTTTCAGCGTGGATATTGGTGGCCCAAAATTCACAGGCCAACCATAGATATCAAGTGTGCGTCGGCGTGGGCTCGAACCCCGGACCATGTGCATGGTTGGCGAGAGTCCTAACCACTGTGCCACCGACGCACATGACAAGTACTAAATAGAATGAAATAGGCAACCTGTATTCCAGTGCTGAAGTCTCTATTTTATTCTTTAGCTTAGCTCAATCTTACTTACCAAACGAATATTTAATTCGTCACACACTTACAATTTATTACACAATGCAATGCAGGATAGAGGTTAGCATGAAGAATTTCACTAATTTCAATGTTGTACAAGATCAGAATCTACCGTCGATACTTGTGAAGCCAATCAGCTCTTCAACATGCTTTCAGTGACGCTCCATGTCTTTAAGTCATGCAGAAACACTGACTTAACATTAGTGTGAAAACTCCGGACACTATTCCTTGTGCTGATTTCTGTAGATCTTCACATTGATTTCAGAGTATTGAACATCTGTCCCGCATTCTCTACTGATCCTGTCTGACTTTGACATTCTCATTTGTACACAGTGTCTATAGTTGAAACAATGCTGCCCAGATCATTGAAATGAAATAGACGGTTACCTTTAGGTTTCCCCCCCCCCGCTAGTAGTAGTGATTGATACTTGTTGTCCGCTGTTAGACATCTTCATCCCTTCAGTCTCCTCTATATTCACCTGTAGAGGTGTCTTCGCTAGGTTTTTTGCCAACTTGCTGGTTTTCACTTGTAAGTCTTAGAGCTTGTGAAAAATGACAAATAGATCTCCTAGGGTTGCTATGTCAGTCGAACATGTGATCATCTTTACACTCCCTACGATCTGCCATGCGCCCCTGCCCACCACAATGATGATCATCAGTGATAGTGGGCAGCCTTGAATTGCTCCTGTCTCTTTATCTCAAACGCTTAATTGAGCTTTCTATTTCAAATTACCTGGTGTGTGGTATCATACCATAGTTGTTGAATGAGACTGATAAAGGTTTACGGGATTTAATACTGTCGAAACAACCACCAAATTAATTCGCGATTGATTTTGTTGAAGACCTTTTCAAAGTTGATGCACTTGAGATGAGAGGAAGTGACAACCATTCTACGCTGTGTTTAGTGGTGGTGCATAGTGCTGCAATTTGTTTTCACTAAGTCAAATATATTCCGCGCGAAGTCTTACATTAAGGGCATCTTTCAGTCTTTCGCGGATGATTCGAAT